TTTGTGCCACTTCCTCAGGAAAACGGAATCAGGTGCTCCATCTTCTCATGTCATCCTGCTGCTTCCCACTGGCTATACTGCTGACTCACAGGGTCATTCATTCAGCTGAATGACGTGAGTTGTAACCTATGTGGATAGCTCAAGATTTGACTTCTGTTTGAGTCTGTTTCGTGAGCAGTTAGAAGTTCTGCAGTAACTGCTTTTGCATTCAGTGCTATTGTGAATTTCTGCTGGTGTGTGGGGTTCACTCATTCATTATTCAAACTCGTGGAAGACATAAGTATCAGGCAGTGCATGAGGTCCTAGGACACAGAGATGAACAAAATTGCTCTCTCCTGATTGGTGGAGTAAGTACACAGCCTGGTGAGAAAGAAAAAACTGAGCCATGGGCAGAAGGTGCTCGATTTTCTATTTGCATGTATTTTCTATCATCTTAAATATTTTAAATTATATTTTGATATTGTATTATTTAGAGTATACAATACAAAAGTGTATGTACATATTTTGAAATGAATAAACATTTATGTTGGATAGATGAATTCAATGGATTTTTTTTCCAAATAAATGAGATAAAACAGATACAAGGGTCCTGGGTGAAGGAGGTTAATGAGTGGCAAGTGAGCAGGAAGGCAGAAAGGCTTGGCTCACGTGGCTCACAGTGGACACAGGTAAGTGAGTGGCAAGTGAGCAGGAAGGCAGAAAGGCTTGGCTCACGTGGCTCACAGTGGACACAGGTAAGTGAGTGGGAAGTGAGCAGGAAGGCAGAAAGGCTTGGCTCACGTGGCTCACAGTGGACACAGGTAAGTGAGTGGAAAGTGAGCAGGAAGGCAGAAAGGCTTGGCTCACGTGGCTCACAGTGGACACAGGTAAGTGAGTGGCAAGTGAGCAGGAAGGCAGAAAGGCTTGGCTCACGTGGCTCACAGTGGACACAGGTAAGTGAGTGGAAAGTGAGCAGGAAGGCAGAAAGGCTTGGCTCACGTGGCTCACAGTGGACACAGGTAAATGAGTGGGAAGTGAGCAGGAAGGCAGAAAGGCTTGGCTCACGTGGCTCAGAGTGGACACAGGTAAGTGAGTGGCAAGTGAGCAGGAAGGCAGAAAGGCTTGGCTCACGTGGCTCACAGTGGACACAGGTAAGTGAGTGGCAAGTGAGCAGGAAGGCAGAAAGGCTTGGCTCACGTGGCTCACAGTGGACACAGGTAAGTGAGTGGGAAGTGAGCAGGAAGGCAGAAAGGCTTGGCTCACGTGGCTCAGAGTGGACACAGCTTCCACTGAGGTGGCAGAGGTGGGATGTGCTGTGAGTGCTGCCCTGGTCCTGGCTTCTGGGTCCTGGTGCATGCTGCAGCTGTCTGCTGGGAACCTCGTTTTGCAGCTTGCCCACCCGATTCCCACGCGTTATCTTCTGGGCTTGGCTGAGCCGCGCCTCCTCCAGCAGCCGTCAGAGCTGCGCCTACAGTCTCTTCAGCTTCTGAGATGAGCAGACAAGGGCGCAGCACCGCGATCTCACTGTGCCCTCTGCTCTGTGGCAGTTGGCGGTGGCACTGCCCCTCTGTGACAAGACGGTTTCTCATTCTCAGCCTCTGTTTTCCTGCGTGGCGCCACACGCTGTGATATGGTCTCTGCACCTCCGAGATGCCAGATGCAGCTCCCTGCAGGTGGGAAAGGCTTGAGGAAGGCGGAGGACCAGTGCAGAATGTGGCCACTGCAAGGATGAGGCCGGGAGGAGGAGCGTGGAGCTGCTGTGAGGGGTCACCCTGAGCTGAGGGCCCTGGATCCCACTTAAGCAGCCGTGAGTGGACAAGGGGCGAAATGTGGCTCTGCGGGGAAACTGGCAGAGGCCTGAAAGCTAATAAGGAGTGCAAGCTCATTGGAAGACAGCCAAGGGGGCATGTTTCCATGTGTATCCCTTTCATTAAAGCTCACTGTATACGGAGGTGGTATTATTAAGGAAACTTTTGAATGTAATAAAATAGCATTGATCTCTCTTGCAATAAAAAGATTTGAAGAGGTTCAACCATCCAAGTCTTCAAGATGAAAATTGGTGTAGCTTTTTAGACCCACTGTCCACTGCAGAGTCCTTATGTACATTTTAGGACGTCAATGACTTGACACATGGCCAGGCTTAACTCCAGGCTCTTCGTACTTGACCAGCTTCCTGGTCAACTGTCCAGCCCACAGCCGCTGTCCTCATTGTGTTACTGCTTTTCACCTCAATTCTAATTTACCACAGAACATTCTGGCTCTATGATACTGTGAGAAGTTACTCAGGCCAAGGTAGGGAAGATCACCAGGAAGACTTGGTGTCAACTGTTAGAAAATGGAAACTGTAAGCAGAGGAGTCTCTGCACTACTCTTGAAAATGTGTCCTCCTCAGATCTTCATGCTTGTTGTTCCGGGTAAGCCTCTAGACTAAGCAGCATTACTGTACTACGTGTCAGCCATTCATAAAATGGTGTTGGAAGCTGAGTGCAGCATGTAGGAAAAGCTGAGTCTTCCTCACTACTTTGCGCCAGGTGCCCTGACGGATCTGTTTGTTTTTATTGCAAGAGAGTTGCCCATCGAGCGGGCCTGAAAGAGTCCTTCATTTGGGGACAGCACTAGGACTTCAGTTACTATTATGATACAGCCTCGAAAGCAAGTAAAACAAAACAAAACATTTTCCTCATATTTTTCTGTGATCTATTACAAGACACTTCTCTAGTTTTCCTTTATATGGCTTGCATTTCCAAGTATATTAGTCAGAGTAAGGCATCTGTCTTAACAAATAACTCTAAAATCTTAGGGTTTGAATGCAATAGTTTATTTCTCACAATTTGCATCTTGACTTGGAGATGATAAAGGAGGGTGGTGACAATTGAGTGTACATGCGGGATGGGGGATGGGCAGTGCTTGCTCCACAGAGTCACTCAGGGATCCAGCCTCTCTCCACTTAGAAGGTCAGCCGTTGTTTACTGTTTTTCAGTCTCTACACTATCAACATTTTGGTCCCGATAAATAATCGTTGTGGGCACTTTCCTCTACACCATAAGATTGTTAGCAGCATTCCTGGTTTCTACCCACCAGTTGCCAATAACACCATGCCCAGTTGTGACAACCAAAATGTCTCCAGACATCGCCAAATGTACCCTGGGGGCTGAATTGCTTCTAACTGAGAGCCAGTGGCCTAGGGCTTCAGCATCCTCCCCTGGCTCCTGTGAAGTGACAGGAGAAGCACAGGTGACAGGAGACAGGAGCAGCAGGAAGAGAAGAGAGAAAGAGTGGAGGGCTGCACTGGGAGGTTTGTCAGCCAGTGCTAAAAACCATGTGTCTCATTAACCCACATTCCATTGGCCAGACAGACAATATATATATATAGACAGATATTTATATATAGTTATATTTTTTAATTAATTTTTTTTTAAATGAGACAGGGTTTTGCCATGTTGCTGAAGCTGGTCTGGAACTCCTGGACTCAAGCTATCTGCCCACCTTGGCCTCCCAAAGTGCTAGAATTACAGGTGTGAGCCGCTGTGCCTGGCCAGGTAGATATCATATATCGTGTGTGTATGTGTGTGCATGCATGTGTACACATGTATATATACAGACAAAAACGTTTTTCCCAACATAATGTGTCTGAACGATGCAGTTAGGAGCAGCAGAGACTGATACAAGATGTAGCAAAAACAAAGCGAAGCAGTGGGTCCTCCACGGCTGGAACATAAATGGAACTGATCTTAATCACCATCCACTCACATGTAATTGTTACAGGAAAGCCTTTTGAGACTTGTTGAAGGGGAGAATCTAGAGACCTGGGCTTGCTCTGGGTAACAAGGCCTGCAGTGATGGAGACCTTCACGTCTGCTCATATTTGGTGAAGGTGGAGTGATCTATCTACACTGTAAAAATCTGTTAAAAAGTGTGCATGTAGCAGGAGAGAATTAACCAAACAAATGTGGTATATCTGATCTTACATATTAAAATTATATATATGGTTTGGTTTTTCTGAGGTAGACGTGGCTCGTGAAAACATAGGTTTAAACATTGAACAACTGACAATGTTTACTATTAATTTCATGCAGGCTATTGTACTATGTGCAGGGGGGTACAGAGGAAATGGAAGTCATGGCCCATGTACTCGAGGAATTTACAGGCTAATAGATTACATACACATGCCAGGGAATAGGGAACGTATTGGCTGACAGCCAGCTGCAGATCTGTTTGCTCGTTCCCTCTGTCTTCCTACATTTTCTGAGCAGTATCTTACACTAGAATAAGCAGGCCAGTTTGAAAGAGCTCTTCCTCAAGCAGATAAGTATCCCTGTGTCTTTTACCATAAACACCAGAACACTTAGAGATTAGGCATGGGTTTATATGGGCAGAAACAGGTGAGTGAAATACTGTTCAGGTAAATTAGATCAGTGTGGATTATCACTCTGGGTGCAGTCTCTTTTACTATTCCCAGGTCTATAAAGATCCTCCATAAGTCAGAAACCGTAAGTCAGGTTTCTGCTAAAAACAGGTGACTTTAATTTGGCGGTTTATTTTGGCCACACAACTATTGCTCAAGTCCATGATGGGGCTTGTTGGCCAGTGAGCACTATCCCCGGCTGTTTCATCGAGGAGAGGCCTGGGCTCTGGCTGTCCTGGGGAGCACAGTCCTTTTCTTAAGGGGAGGGATCTTTCCTGGGAGAAGAGGAAAATCTCCACATGTGAAGTGGAGTGTTGAAACCCTACATAACTCAGGGTCCTGTCATTCTTCACCTTTGTTAAACAGGGGGAAAACCCACCCAACTTAGCTATTGAAGAATTCCTTCAGATGTCCCATCTCTGTCCCCACAACCCACCCTTACCAATGCTGACCCTAGGCAATTACTGATTAGTCAGGGGAGGTACAGGAAGGGTCCTGCGGGGCAAATGTCTCCACCTCCCAGCCTGCAGCACCAGAACCATGGGGCCTTCACAGAGCAGGGCCACTGGCAGCAAGAGCTTTTAAACATATTTGGTTATTTTTGTTTGAACTCATGTTGGAGGAAAAGACCCAAGTGAAATAATATAATACCTATTCAGGTTAACATTGGCTGAAACTCTTTTTATTTTTAGCATGTGAATTCCTTCATTTCCTAGGTTTCCTGCAATGGCTGAACTTTTTGTGTAAGCTGATCAGTTCTCAAAAAGCTAACTGAAAAATAATCTGAAATAGAGCTCCTTTTCAAATAAAGGAGAATGAGCTTTTGGACAAAGGTGCTTATTTCATTTCATTTTAGTTAAATAGTGTTCTGTTTTCCAAGAGCTGTGGGCTTGTGAAAAAAGCTGGTATTTGCTGAGCTCCCGGCCCGCCACAAAGTACCATTACATGGATAATTTCATTATAATCTCATAGGAAAACGCTTGAAATAAGTACTTCTTAAAATCTCTGTAAGAAGAAATGAGCTCTGAAAGATTATCTTAGTATGTTTCATGTTGCTGTAACAGGATACTACAGACTTGGTAATTTATAAAGAATAGAAATTTATTTCCTCAGTTCTGGAGGCTGGGAAGTCCAACATCAAGGTGCCAGCATCTGGTGAGGTCCTTCTTGCTGCATCAAGCCATGGTGGAATGGCAAAGAGAGAGAGAGAAAGAGCGAGACACAGAACTCAGCCTCAGGGCCTTTAATGACTGACATTAACCCCTTCATGAGGGTGGGTCCCTCATGACCTAAATACTCGAGGAATTTACAGGCTAATAGATTACATACACATGCCAGGGAATAGGGAACGTATTGTTAGGCCTCACCTCCCAAAGCTGTTGCATTGGAAATCAAGTTGCCAACACATGCCTTTTGGGAGGCACATTCAAACCATAGCAAAGATCTTAAGCAAACTGCCAAGGTTACAAAGCTGGTACATCTAGGGGCCGGAACCTGAATCTAGGGCCACATACTCTGAGGTTGGTTCTAAATGCTCACAAAACCAATGCTTTAATGGGGCGATGTAATGAGGTGGTAGCTTGAGGATAGCTTAGGGATTACGTGGACATTTAGTCCCCCTCATCCTTCTTCCCTACTCAGGTTTCAAACAAAGATATATTTGGGGTATATCTGATGTATATTTTTGTTCCTGAAAAGTTCTAGCTGTCTAGCAGATGTGTGTGTGTGTGTGTGTGTGTGTGTGTGTGTGTATTTTTTTTCATCAGGCCATGCTGTGTTGTCTTAGTACATGAAGGAATCCTGTGCATTATGCAGTTACTCTCAAGATCCTAGGTTTGCATTCCCATCCAGTCAGTCAGGGCCTACAGCCAAGACATGCAGCAAAAACAAAGATGTGCATGGAACCAAAACCCTCATTTGGAGGTGAGCGCTGTGGACTGAATATGAGTTATTGTCCAGTATACACGTGTTCAAGTGTTTTCTAAAAATAAAGCTCCTTGAATCAGTGCACATACTCCTATGCCTGGACAGTGGAGCTGGTGGGTTTAGGAGTATTTAATCTGCAGGAGAGGAGGCAGGTATCACCTTCTTGAAACATTCAAGAGGCTGTAATATGCTTGTGAAAACTCACCTGTGGATCAGATTTCAAGTGCAAGGCAGAACGCCAGCGTCATTGTAGACTTGTTTGGGGGTCTAAGAAGCAATATAGGGTACGTTTAAGGCAGATGCCTGAAATACTGGTACGCTCTTCTCAAGAAGTTATAAGAATTGTGAAGGCTCAGTACACTGATAAAACATAAAACAAGCCACTGTTCTGCTCTACATTTGCAGGCCTCCAATGTCTCAGCTCTAAGGCTAGGCCTTGTGGTGCCTGCCTTTGATAAGGTGATCCAGGCTTCTGTGAGTCAGTGAAGCTTTGTTCTCTTGAGTCAGTGAAGTCCCAACCCCATCATAGCCCCAGAGTCCTGTGGTGAATCCAGCGGCCTCCAGCATCGTGGCCTCCTGCGGCCAGGATCTTGGCCCTGGTTGACATTTCCACGCCTGCCGTCTCCTGCGGTACCTTCAGCACATACGATGAGCTGGACAAGGACTGAACAGTGTTTGCTGTGAAACCTGGCCTTTCCTCTGCTTCTGACTGCCGTGTCCCCACCATGAGGTCCTGGAGTTGCTTCAGTTCATTGTAGACAGCAAACTGGGAATTATACCAGCCGCTCATAGGCAGCCACCATGGAGGTTACCTGGGAATTATACCAGCCGCTCATAGGCAGCCACCATGGAGGTTACCTGGGAATTATACCAGCCGCTCATAGGCAGCCACCATGGAGGTTACCTGGGAATCATACCAGCCGCTCATAGGCAGCCACCATGGAGGTTACCTGGGAATCATACCAGCCGCTCATAGGCAGCTACCATGGAGGTTACCTGGGAATCATACCAGCCGCTCATAGGCAGCCACCATGGAGGTTACCTGGGAATCATACCAGCCGCTCATAGGCAGCCACCATGGAGGTTACCTGGGAATCATACCAGCCGCTCATAGGCAGCCACCATGGAGGTTACCTGGGAATCATACCAGCCGCTCATAGGCAGCCACCATGGAGGTTACCTGGGAATCATACCAGCCGCTCATAGGCAGCCACCATGGAGGTTACCTGGGAATCATACCAGCCGCTCATAGGCAGCCACCATGGAGGTTACCTGGGAATCATACCAGCCGCTCATAGGCAGCCACCATGGAGGTTACCTGGGAATTATACCAGCCGCTCATAGGCAGCCACCATGGAGGTTACCTGGGAATCATACCAGCCGCTCATAGGCAGCCACCATGGAGGTTACCTGGGAATCATACCAGCCGCTCATAGGCAGCCACCATGGAGGTTACCTGGGAATTATACCAGCCGCTCATAGGCAGCCACCATGGAGGTTTCCTGGGAATCATACCAGCCGCTCATAGGCAGCCACCATGGAGGTTACCTGGGAATCATACCAGCCGCTCATAGGCAGCCACCATGGAGGTTACCTGGGAATCATACCAGCCGCTCATAGGCAGCCACCATGGAGGTTACCTGGGAATCATACCAGCCGCTCATAGGCAGCCACCATGGAGGTTACCTGGGAATCATACCAGCCGCTCATAGGCAGCCACCATGGAGGTTACCTGGGAATCATACCAGCCGCTCATAGGCAGCCACCATGGAGGTTACCTGGGAATCATACCAGCCGCTCATAGGCAGCCACCATGGAGGTTACCTGGGAATCATACCAGCCGCTCATAGGCAGCCACCATGGAGGTTACCTGGGAATTATACCAGCCGCTCATAGGCAGCCACCATGGAGGTTACCTGGGAATTATACCAGCCGCTCATAGGCAGCCACCATGGAGGTTACCTGGGAATTATACCAGCCGCTCATAGGCAGCCACCATGGAGGTTACCTGGGAATTATACCAGCCGCTCATAGGCAGCCACCATGGAGGTTACCTGGGAATCATACCAGCCGCTCATAGGCAGCCACCATGGAGGTTACCTGGGAATCATACCAGCCGCTCATAGGCAGCCACCATGGAGGTTACCTGGGAATTATACCAGCCGCTCATAGGCAGCCACCATGGAGGTTTCCTGGGAATCATACCAGCCGCTCATAGGCAGCCACCATGGAGGTTTCCTTTGGGATTACTATGTACCTGCCTGAGCACGCCCGAGGGGTGTAAACGGCCTGTGTGAGCGAGGCCAGGCGGGCGCTGTCGCTGCTGCTCCTGGTTCTGGCCAGGTCCTTGTTGGGGCTCCCCCGGCCCAGCCCACACAGTTCCAGTAACATGACCAGCAGCCTCCGGGCCAAATTCCTCCTGTGCCACAGGAAAAGTTACCCTCTCAGTCCCCGCACCCCCTAGTAAAAGCAGGTCCAGAGGCAGTTGTGCGAGGACTGCTATAAAAAGCATCGCGGTTCAGAAGGGATTTTGTGCGGCGGATGGCTCCCTCCAGGGCCAGGAGAACTGGGGGAGAGAGACCCCCGGGCAGCTGCCCCCCGGTGAAGCCCCGAGCTTCCCCCGCCTCCGCAGACGCCCGGCGCCCTTCAGTCTCAGGCCGAGCAGGACCCGCTGTCTGACTCCCGCGGAGGCGGCGCGCTGACGTCAGCCCTACGCCCGAGCTGCGGCCCGCGGCGGGGCGGGGCCGGGGTGGGCGGGGCGGTGCCGGGGTGGGCGGGGCGGTGCCGGGGTGGGCGGGGCGGCGCCGGGGTGGGCGGGGCAGTGCCCGGGTGGGCGGGGCGGCGCGGGTTCCCGCGTGCTGGCCGCTAGGCGGCAGGTGATGGAGGTCTGGGCTCGCGCCGAGCCAGGCCGTCGGGTCCACCATGGCGTCCAGGGTCCTGGTAGGTCCGCCCCTTCGCAGACAGCGGCCTCCCGCCCCGGCCGGCCACCAGCCACCGGCCTGGTCTGCTCAGGTCTCCTGGACCCGCTGCCCTTGGCACCTGTTCCCCGGGCCTACAAACAGACAGGGCCTGCGTTGTCCTTCTCACGTGTTTTAGGGGCTGGTCTCTCTCTACCGCATCTTGATTCTCCCGGCTCTGGTTCTCCCACTTAACTGCAAACAGTGTGCTGAAAAAGGCATGCCGACACTGCCCAGCAGGGTTTTCCGCGGACGTAGGAGCGGCTCCCTGCAGGCGCTGCCTGCCGAGGCCAGCCCCTCCCGGGGGCTCTGCAGGAGGGTTTTGGGGAGGAGCGCGGCGCACAGGCCGCCTGGACTGAGAACGGCTTCCGGGCCCTCATTCCCACCGGCCTCGCCCCCTCTCCACGCATCTGTTTTCATTTTCTTAGTGTTTAAACTTGATTCCGCCCCCACCTCCGTGTCCTCACACCACTCCCATGAAAGACAGAAGATGGATTTCATCTGTGTCCTGAACGAGGGCAGGGAACACTCAGTGACTGCAGACCCCGTCGCGCGGGCTGCCTCTGGAGAAAAGTAAAAAGAATGTAACAAGTTTTAATTAAGACTCCAACTGAAAATACCATCATTTCCCCCTCAGACACGCTTTACCAATGATATGTGAGACCTATGAACTGGATGTTTCTCAGATCTGGTGCCTCCCCCTCCATTTACTTTTCCTTAACACCCATAGGCTGAGTGATCATGAGACACTCATTCCGTCTCTTTGTACCTCAGTGTTTGAATGTGTAGAAATGGCACAACCCTATTTACTTCACATGTTTATGGCTCATAATCCGATACTCCACCCACGTTGTCCTAGTATAGGTTCTAAAAGTGGGCAGCAAAAACATTTGCATAACATTCCTCAAAATGTTCTCTTTAAATTTGGTATTTGAGAAGACACAGGCTTCAGGCTGGTCTCCCGGTGGCTGCCCTCGAGCCCCCGACATACCTGAGTCTCCGGATACACAGACATGTCCCTCCCAGTCATGGTCTCACAGTTTGGGGGCAGCTGCATTTTTATTTAAATACTTTTAATGTACACTTAAAACTAAAGGGATTAAGCACTAAAGTGAAATTGGAGTCTTTCGGGTGGGATGACAATGATTCGAACTTCGATCATTTTATATCACGGAGATGTCCTAATCTCCCCACTCCAAGAGAACCCTCCAACGGAGGAAGCCGCCATTCCCCACGATTCCTATGAAATTCCCTTTCCCCCAAACTCCCATCAGATGGCTTTGTTGACTTATGACCACTTAGCAGGAACCATGCCCTGTGCTTACACCTTCAGAAAAACTTGGGTCTTGTTTCCGCTGCACCGTGGGATGGAAGGAAAAACCGTTTAGCTGGAAGCTTCCTGCAGCAAGAAGGGGGCATTGTGCGGGGTGGTGGGCCTCTGCCCAGAGTTGTTTAAGAAGGTATTTCACTTCTTCTTCAGAGCTGTTCTAACGCCTTTGACATGGCACTTCAGTAGAACTTCAGGTATTATTGGGGTTAACGTGAAAGTCTACTTAAAACACCAAGAGTTTTGTTATTTTTATTTGAATATACTCTTCAAAGTTTCAGTTCGTGAGATAAATTCTGAATTGCCTAATGCAATTACCTAATGTAAACTGAAAAAATATATAAAGGAGTGAAAAATTTTGGTTGTGTACTTACATGATTATATATAAATTCTAATTATTTTGCCATTTAATTACTTTTCATAGCACATTAGATGTTATAGAAACATACACAGTATAAACAGCACTGGAAAAGGGAAAAACATGAAATGACCGATTTCACCATAGGGATTTAATATAAAAATCAGTTTTCTTTCAATCCATTTTTGATTCATCGGAAAAGCTGTGTACCCAAGGGCACAAAAAGATAACAGAATCTGAAGTCAATCCCTCATGAAATACCTAGGTTAGCTCAGTTTCTAAATCAAACCTCATATTCAGTGTGGCTGCTCAGTTTCCATGAAAGTGGAAACCAGCATTGAGAATTGCCCCCCAGCCACTCTCTTCTTCCTTTTCCTCCTCCTTTGTATTAAATATTATTGGAAACCATCTGCAGTTTCTTTGGCCATGGGTAACTGGCAGGAAAGCAGAATGAATCATTTCAGAGCTGAAGAAAAAACCTGTGACCCCTCTTTCGTTTTCAACTAAAGAAGTGAGCCATTGACAGTGTCTATGTGGTGTCAAGAGCTGCCTGCCTGCAGGGCTCCTGTTGACTGCTCACTCCGTGGGGGGCCCACCGCATTCCCAGCATCTTCAGAATTCCCCCGGGGCCGTGGTTAATCTCTTTCCTGGCCTTCCATTGTGAACACTGGAGAGGCTAAAGTTCTCATCAATGCAGCACCTTCACTGGAACTTTGAATGGACAAGGAGAAAAGATTCAGAACTACAGGGAAAGTAAGCAGTGTGAACATTCTCAATGGGAAGGCTGTTTTCATCGGGCACTGGGTGACCCTTGCCTTGGTGGGAGTGGGGCACAGTGTGCTGTTTGTGGAGAAGAAACACTGTACCTTTATTCAGAGCTTGGAAGGTTAAGAGGCCCAAGATTTATGGAAACAAGGAGGGATTTTAAAAAGAAGAAACCTCCCTTGCCTGGCTGCAGGTGCAGGGGCAGTGGGGCCTCTCCCTGGTGGGGCGAAGAGACCTGCCTCCTGGAAGTCACTGTGAGGTAATGTTCCGGTCTGCAGAACCTCATCTGACCCTCTGTGTATTGGGGATCAAGGCCCAGGGAGGAGGTGAAGGCTCCATTTGGGGAGGGCAGGCTTGCTATCCAGAAACAGAGCTGGGATATGGAGTGGAGCATTTGAAAGATTCTAGGAGCACAGGGGATGAGCCTTAACGTGCTATGTTCTGGATTATAGCAGTCTCTTGAATGCTCTTCTGGGTCTCTGGGTCTCTCTTGTGTCTCAGTTGAACTTCACAACAATAAAAAGCTGCCTCTCATAGTGGAATCAGGTGACTGTGCCCAGAGTTGCTTAGGTAAGTTAGTAAATCTCCCTGAGCTGGCTTTGGTGTCAGATTGCTCAGGTTTCAACACGAGCGCTACTTCTGCAGTTTTGAGTAAGGCATTGTATGAGTCTGTTTTCACGTTGCTGATAAAGACATACCCAAGACTGGAAAGAAAAAGAAGTTTAATTAGACTTACACTTCCATATGGCTGGGGAAGCCTCAGAATCACAGTGGGAGGTGAGAGACCCTTCTTCATGGTGGCGGCAAGAGAAAATGAGGAAGATGCAAAAGCGGAAACCCCTGATAAACTCATCAGATCTTGTGAGACCTGTTCACTACCATGAGAACAGTAGGGGGAAACCACCCCCATGATTCAAATTATCTCCCACTGGGTCCCTCCCACAACATGTGGGAAATATGGGAGTGCAATTCAAGATGAGATTTGGGTGGGGACACAGAGGCAAACCATATCAGTCATTCAACCGCTTTGTGCCTTAGTTTCGTGCCTGTAACATGGACATAGTAAAAGTACCTGCCTCATTTCGTGGCTGGGGGTAAAATGAGAAAATGCGTTAGAATTCTTGCTTGCCAACATTGTAGATGATCACTGGGCTTTCCAAAGCAGGGACGAGCTTATGAGAAGGCAGCCGTCGCATGACTGAGGAAGCAGGTTTAACAATGAGCAAGAGCCAAAGCAGCCAGACCTTACTTCCCATCCCCGGTGGGGAGTCCACGGCTGCTGCAGGAGAGATGGTCAACCGTTTCTGAAATGAAACCATTTCTTCCGGATGCAGTGGCCCGTCCATACGGTAGGATGCAAGCCACCAGAGGGTGTGCTGAGGGAAAGTGGGACTCATTCCTTACTCTCACCCCACAATGGGATGGGGATTCAGACGCTACACTGGTAATTAATGGAAAATGTCCCCCAAGACACATAAAGTGTGTAGGATAATGCTCGGTGTGACAATGATTCAAGCCAGTTGTGACAATGATTCATTTTTACCTTTCATGAATAGTTACAACCGTATCTGCCTGGAAAGGCATAACTATAGCAAAGACCTAGTCCAGTACCTGACGAATAATACATGCCCGGCATGTGCCAGCTGATGTTACAGTATAGTGTAGATAACTGAAGTTTACAGATGGTTTAAAATATGTTAGTCTGGTCACTGGCTTCAATGCCGTTTCTATGAATTATTTTTAACATCGCTATAAAAGAGCAAATTACCCACAGTTCCTCTCCCTGGTTTACTTTTCTACGTCACCATCAACACCTACTTGTACCATTTCAACTTTGTAGGAAGGAAAACATTTGCTTAAAGCTGAGTTTTCTCTGAAAAACAAATTCTAATAAAAAATGGCCACATGACACAGAAAACAGCATGTACTCATTTTCACCTTCATTTTCTAAATCTCAGGCAAATGCTTATTTTTAACTTACAGCAATGCATACTGTCTTGGAAAAAATGCAAACGCTATCACGTCACAGTTTTTTCCAAAAGGTAGAGCTACACGCGTTAGTGATTCTCTTAGGTTTTATTTTATTTTTTAGTCATGTCAGCATTGTGTGTAGATCCTCTTAGGTTTTAGATGAGAACAAATTAATGATCAAGCATTTCAGGTATTTAATATATTTCTTCAGCTCCCTGGGAAAAAAAGTAACCTGTTCCAGGCAGGGATTAGGATCTAGAGGAGAAGAAATGCTTTTGGTGTGTGCTTTCCTTTTTCCC